AGAGAGACAAACCAAGAAACAGATTGTTACCAACAGAGAACAAACTGATGGTCACCAGAGGGGAGTTTGGTGGGCGGATGGGTGAAGTAGGTGATGGGGATAAGGGAGGACACTTGTGATGAGCACAGGGTCACGTATGGAAGTGTTGAATCACTACATTGTACATATGAAACTCATACTGTATGTTAACTGGAATTAAAATAAAAACAAAAAAATAAAAGTACACAGATATAAAAAAAGTCCTTGCCAAATCATATATATATAAAACAGTAAAATATAGCAATGTCTTTTAAACTCAAGAATATACAACAAATAATGGGTACAATAAACATTACTGAATAAGAGGCTGAAACTAGCAAATTCATCTTCAGGGCTGAAAACCATAACTCAGAGTATGTGATATACTGCTAGTGAAGAGTGGCATGCATCACTTGGTGGGAAGAGCACAAGCTGGGAATCCGGAGGCCAAGGCTACATCACAGTTCTAGCACTTTCTGGCTGAGTAATCTGAACAAGTCATTTAGCCTCTTGGAGCTTTATTGCCTCTGTCTGTAAGGTAAAGGCACTGGGATAGGCTGTCACCAACAGCCCTTTCCAACTGGATCTGTCACTTCTTTGTATACACTTAAAGTATGAGACACGTTAATTTGAAATTATGAAGCTTTGCTTTTATACATTTAAAATACTGTGTAGGAGTTCTTCTGGTTCTGGATGAGATGAATAAATAGGTTTCATTTTATTCTTCACAATATTAGTAACAAAAGACCCTGTACAAAATCTATACATCAACTATGAGAAGACTCTGAAAATGGAGAAAAGCAGGCAGGCCAACCCAAGGAACCCAGCAGCAAGTTGCCTGGTGGTTGGGGGTTGGCTTTTTTCCTCCCTCCCATGTACCCCCAGCCTGGGCACGGGAGAAGCCCACAACCCATCAGTGCCAACAAGCACAGACAAAAACATAATCCACAGAAAAGCCTGCTCTTCCTAGCCAAAGCCCTGGGAAAATGTAGCCCAGCCAGCCAAACCGTTCCATCCTTCCTGCTGTCCTCCAGGTGAGCGTCATGAACAAGGCACAATGCTGCCGCCGCCGCCACAGTCTATGGGCAGAACCCGGTTTCGCCCCACCCTGTAGTCCCCAGGGTGCGCCTCTGCCCTGGGAGTGAGCGGAGCCCTGTCATTCCGCACTGTCTCACAGGAAGAAAGTGGTATCCCTCCTGGCTGAGCCTGTGGGTGGCACCTGGACTTCCATCCCTACCACGTAATAGAAAAAGCACCCTCTCAGCCCAAGTCTGGGTGGAGCCCTGTCTTCCTGCTGACCTGCAGTAATGGGGCCGTTGAGACCAGGAGCATTAACTTGTCTTTCACTTGTACCCTATAGTACCATGCGGCTCGGCATTCCTTCTCAACCGGGTTTCTGGGCAAACCCTGGCTTCCATCCTCACCCTGCAGTAACTAGGAGGTGGTCCTCTCCTTCTCCAGGATGTGGGGTACAGGGCGCCTGGGTGGCTCAGTTGATTAAGCGTCGGCCTTCGGCTCATGGTCCCAGGGTCCTGGGATCGAGCCCCGCATCAGGCTCCCTGCTCCGCGGGAAGCCTGCTTCTCCCTCTCCCGCTCCCCATGCTTGTGTTCCCTCTCTCGCTCTCTCTCTCTCTGTTGAAAAATATCTTAAAAAAAAAAAAAAGTGGGGTACAGTCCTGCCATTTGGGTAACATACAAGTAGGGTGGGCAGAAGAGCACTTCAGTAGCACTACAAAGGCTTTGTAAACTAGGTTGATATGTGAACCATGGCCTACAGAGGTGAACTAGGACGTGCATTCTAAATCTCAACAGGTTAACTGCCGGCTAAAAGGGAAATTTTCAATAGGAGCCAGAGTCTTCTTGTAACACTCAAAAATATCCACGATTCAATTCAAAATTATACTTCATACTGAGAAGCAGGAAAATCTCAACTCAGACGAGAAAAGACGATCAACAGGTGCCGATACTGACATGACCTAGATGCTAGAATTCTCAGACAAGGAAAGCAGCTACCATAATACTGCTCCAGCAAGCAATTATAAACACTCTTGAGACAAATGAAAAATAGGAATTAGAAAATGAAGATAAAAATAAGCAGAGGGTGCCTGGGTGGCTCAGTTGGTTAGGCGACTGCCTTCGGCTCAGGTCGTGATCCTGGAGTCCCTGGATCAAGTCCCACATCGGGCTCCCTGCTCGGCGGGGAGTCTGCTTCTCCCTCTGACCCTCCCCCCTCTCATGTACTCGCTCTCTCTCATTCTCTCTCTCTCAAATAAATAAATAAAATCTTAAAAAAAAATAAGCAGAAATTTTAGAACTGAAAATTTTATTAACAATAAAGTCACCAGACCGATGGGCTCAATAGCAGAATGGAGGTGACAAAGGAAGGAATTGGTGAACCTGAAGATAGATCAATAGACATTATCCAACTCAAACAAGAGAAAGAAAGTAAATTTTGAAAAGTGACCTGAGCCTCAGAGACCTGTAGCAGAATAGCCAAAGATTTAACATTTGTGTTGTTGGAGCCCCAGAAAAGGATAGAGGCCGAAAAAATATTTGAAAAACGAGTGGCTGAAAACTCCCTAGATTTGGTAAAAGCCAAGAAAAATGAAGTACCTATTTGGAGACACTTTTATGTAAATGAAATGTATTAGAACAGTAAAGATGAGGAAGCAGCTATAGCCCCAGTCATCAAGGTCCTGTCACATTCACATGTGACAAACAACTGGCTCAGAGTTCCACTTAGCTTCTGCCCGTAAGCTGATTAGGACAATACCATGTAATGGACCCTGGGGTGCTGCATAGAAAAGGCCTCTCAAAAGTTTCTTTTGGGGCCCCTGGGTGGCTCAGGTGGTTAAGCAGCTGCCTTCGGCTCAGGTCATGATCCCAGGGTCCTGGGATCGAGCCCCGCATCGGGCTCCCTGCTCGGCGGGGAGCCTGCTTCTCCCTCTCCCTCTGCCTACTTGTTCTCTCTCTGTCAAATAAATAAAGTCTTAAAAAAAAAAAAAAAGTTTCTTCTTGATAATGACAACAGCATAGTCCTGGTAAACACTTCTAACCTACTACACATAAGAAATTGCATATATTAATATTAAAGCCTCACATGAACATAATGGATAGATAATAAATACTATTATTATTCCTATTTTACATAACTGAGGCACAGGAAAGGTAACTCACTCGAAATCGCACCGCTAATAGATGATAGAGCTAATTCAAAGTTACAGAAGTTTTGGAAACGTTAAAATGTTCAGGGGAAACAAGGTCTTTTACGTGGACATTTTGCCATTGATATGCCTTATGATTGAATCAGAAATTTTATCTGTAGCTAATAGACATATAAAGAGGAATTGGGGGTCTGGGTGATGTAGTCATTTGGACATTGTCTAAGTATACAGAATGCTGTTGGGTCATTTCCTCCCATAGTATAGATCAAGCTCTGTGCTCTGGAAGCCCATTTCTGTATTCAAGGAAGCAACTGCTATTCTTTAGTGATGATAATGTTGGGCATTGTTGGCACTGGCCATGCCATCTCCAGTGCTGTTCTCCTACACACATGTGTGCAAAGACTCACTGCCCTCGACACCTAGCTTGTCTGCACATGGGAGGTGCTCGCTACATAGGAATTCCTCCCTTTGAGTCACACAGGCCTTACGTACTCATTGCAAGTTGGCAGTGTCTACATGGTTAATGAAAGAATGATTCCATTTATAAATTTTGGCCAATGTTCCTTATCTCTGTTTATTGTTACTGCTGTATAGAACTAGACCGCAGCTTTACCAAGTCATTATTACAATGATAATCACCAACATTTGCTGAAAGAGCAAGCAAAACTAAAGCTTGCCCAGTGACCACAAGCAGTGGTCATGGACTTGTAGGATTTTCAAATTGTTTCGTTAAGGCCTGGATATAATTGAATCAGATTTACAAGGGGTCAACATCAAGTTCTTATGAAAAACATCAAATGGGTTATGTTTTTAAAAACATAAAGATGACATTTATTTTAGTTAAATTATTCAGCGATGGTTTAACACTCTTCACTCTAATTTAGCAAAATATTTGAATTCCTCTCGGTCCCTTCTAAAATTCCGTTGCTCTCTTCTTGTTGAAAATCAAGTATCTCCTAACATTAACTTGAAGATGTTTGAGTTCTAGCATCTGAGAAGTTGTAAAATTATAAAGCGAAGGACACACTTCAGGAGAGGCAACATGGTATATGTATTAAAATCGTGAACCATAGAAACATCTATAACCCTTGAATCTCAGCTCCACTACACACTCATTGCATGACCTCAGGTAAATTACCTAACACTTATGTGCTTGGTTTCATCAGATTTATAAAATAAGAAAAATAGTACCTATTTCATAGAGTTTTGTGAGCTTAATGGAAGTAATGTAAAGCACTTGGACTAGTGCTTGGCATCAGTAAGCTGGTGCTAATAGTAAATAACAACCACGGTTGTTTTTAGCCACTAAATTTATTATTTTATATATATCTCAAGGCTTATGAATAGATAGGAATATGAGCAACATGATTTTAAGAGGGCCCTGAGATACTCTTACTTTTGGAGATCTGATTCCTCTTCATATCCAATATATTAAAATACAATTATATATCCCACATCAAATATAATTTTTATGTCACTTTAAGGAAATGGACAATTTTAAGTTGCCTATTTGGCATATTACATTTTGTAGACATTTAAACACTTATTAATTTTGTTTTATTTGGGTTGAATCTCTCCTGAGATCATACAGCAAGTGATGAAGCATGAGCTAGAATTCTCATCTGCTGACTTAAAACCAAAATTTTCCAAGAGAAAAGATGGGAAGAATGTTTTTACACTCTGCAGAAACTACTGGAAGCTAGTCCCCTTTTAAACCTAACTCAAGCTGGAGGGAGTGTCTTTTGCTAAAATAAACACTCCAGAATGCTCAAAACTCTGAAAACATTGATGAATTTTTCCTTTCTATATTTTTTTTAGATTGTGGTTTGAATGTTCATAAGCAGTGTTCCAAGATGGTCCCAAATGACTGTAAGCCAGACTTGAAACATGTCAAGAAGGTATACAGCTGTGACCTCACAACACTCGTGAAAGCCCATATCACTAAGCGACCAATGGTGGTGGACATGTGCATCAGGGAAATTGAATCTAGAGGTGAGGCGTTTCCAGTGTGGTTCAGCAGTTATAATGCACCAGGAATGCAAGTTCTAATTCCCTTCTGGGTGCTTCACTGCATAATCCAGTTGTCTTCTGTAAGTTTAGGGGGGGATGATTTCAGATGTCAAATCATCTGAAAGTCTGAAATGAGTTAATTTAGCAAATAATGAACCAGCTTGATTTTAAGGTACAGTTAACTAGTTATAGGAAATATGCTTAAATATTTTTATGGATGATGGATCTTCTAGTCTATAGAAGTTGACATGTAGATAGCAATTTGTTTTTCACTTTTTACATTTTTTCTAGGTCCAAGAAGCAAAGGGTTACGTAAATGCTCTGTTAAAACTATCCTAAGCCAAAAAACAGAGCTGCATCCTCATTATTATTTCCCATTTGGGAAACTCTGGTATGGACCTATTAATATGGTTAGCTTAGTCTTCAGTTATGTAAAAGAATTTAAGGTATAATTGGGGTGATGAATTATTTCCCTTAAGACTCAACATATTTGATCTAATTAGACTAAGTGATGAGCCAAATTACAAACACTCAGGTAACAATAGGTCAGAGTTTAAAAACTGAGTGCAATGGTTTTATTTTAGGAGAAAATGTAAAGAGGTTTCTAAACAAGTATATTTAATCATTCTTTCATGCACATTACTTCCCCAGCCTGAAGTATGGGAAGAAGTTAAACTTTGGAGAAAAGGCATAATTCCAAAGAAACGAATTAGCTCCCTTGCTTTATTTTTACAGGTCTTAATTCTGAAGGACTGTATCGAGTATCAGGATTTAGTGACTTAATTGAAGATGTCAAGATGGCTTTTGACAGAGGTATGTTCTTCAGCATGTTCATTAACTTAGGACAACAATGCTGTCTGCCAGGGAGAATCTAATGACTTAGATTCCCCCACCACAGAATCATTATTGATTTTATTTTAATCAGTGCCATAAAGGAAAATTATAACTGTGGAACATAACCTAGTTTGCTGGGGTTGGGGGGATGCTGGAGATCAAAAGAGGCTTTTCCAGAGAATAGAGGTTGACCAGATAATGGTTGAGTAGCAAAGAAACAGGATATGTAAAGACCTTGGCAAGAGAAGACTGTGCAAAAACGCTGAGGCTGTCCTTGTCAAGGCCCTGAAAAGTGCTGTGGCTTAGAGAGTAAGAAATGAAAGGAGAGTGAACTAAGGTACAATGAATATAATATCTTACTATAGAAAGAACTAGCTGAATGGTAGAAGGGTTCTCAGATCAACCTCCAAATTCGGTTTAACCTATCATATGACTGAACTATAAGGTTGGCAACTTTATTTTCCAAACCAAAAATTGGACGTGTACCCTGTAATGAGACAGGATATTTGAAATTTGGATTCTCATAGAAAAATAACTAATAGATAATGGAAACAGGAACCATGTGGCAGGAGAGAATACCAGTATTCTTTCTTTTGTCCTGAATAAAAATTTTGATAGAGGTGATATTTGCCTTCTTAATTCTTCTACCTTCCTTTTGTGCTCTCCCATCCTCTTCTCCAGGTCTTCGGGCCCCTAGGACCTGCACACTTGCCTAAGGTCCCCCAGTGAAGCATTCTTCATTGCCTTTTCCTCCCAGAAAGTGGTCTAGCCCAATTTGTACTGCCACTGCCCGGGATTTCAACCCAAGTAGGAAAGACAGATACCGGTGATCTAACTCACACTTGGATGCGAATGTCTGATAGGCCATGGTATTTTGCATTTAAAAGAGGCTTCTTTAAAGAAAAACAGACTTCATTAGAGTAGTTCTAGGGTTACAGTTTCAGGTTAACAGTAGTCTTAGCTTACAAAATTTCACAGGAAATACAGAGATTTCCCATATAAGCTCTCCTCTCATGCCCCCACCCCAAGCCCAGTTTCCTGTTATTAATATCTTGCATTAGTTTAGTTATATTTGTTAGAATTGATGAACCAACATTGATACGTTACTAATAACTAAAGTCAGTAGGTTACATTGAAGTTCACTCTTTATGTTGTACAGTTCTGTGGGTTTGGCAAATGCATAATGTCATATATCCATGTTACAGTGGCACATAGGATTTTTACTACCATAAAAATCATCTGTGCTTTACCTGTTCTTCCTTCCCTTTCTCCCCCTGAGCTCCTGGCAACCACTGTTCTTTCTACTGACTCCATAGTTTTGCCTTTCCCAGAACGTCATATAGTTGGAATCATAGAGAATGTAGCCTTTTTCGGCTGATTGCCTTTACTAAGCAATATGCATTTAAAGTTCTCCCATGCCTTTTCATAGCTTGATAGCTCTTCTCTTGCTGTTGCTCAATAATGTTCCTTTGTCTAGATACATCACAGTTTATTCGCCTATTGAAGGGCATCTCAATTGCTTCCAAATTTTTTGGCAATTATGAATGAAAGTGGCTATAAATATTTGTGAGCACATTTTTGTGTAGACATAAGTAGTTTTCAGCTCTTCTGGGTAAACACCCAGGAGTGTGAGTGCTGGATTATATGGTAAGAGTATGTTCAGCTTTGTAAGAAACCGTCCACCCCGCAAAGTGGCTGTACCATTTTGCGTTCCCAACACTTTACAGTTCTGTGGCTCCACATCGTCTCCCAACATTTGTCATCAGGGTTCTGGATTTTAGCCATTCTAATATCTGTGTAGGGAAGAGGCTGCTTTTTAATCGCTAGAAATCATTCATAAGCCAAACGGAATAAAAGAAATCTAGTATAAGATCAGCTCAGGGTAGGCACTAATTAAATCTTTTGTAGATGAAAATTCAGGTATTTTAACCAGTGACTAAATGCAGGGTAGTAAAGGAAGGCCGGCTTTACTCGAGTCTGAAGGCCCAGCACCTCTAAAATACTCCTCTCTTTTATAACTTCTTCTCTTGGTCCTTCAGCACTCTGAAGTTTTGTTTCATTTCATTCTAGTACTTCTCACTATCTGCCTTCCCCCAGGGCTTACACAACATCCCAACGTCATGGTCATGTGTCGGAGCCTGGGGTGAGTCAGAGGTGGCCTTTTGTAAGTTAGGAGTGCCTTTCTTGTTATTTTTCAAATCCTCTAGGTTTATTTAAAAAAGAAAGAAAAAGCAATCCCACATCATTCCCCTAGGAATTCTCAAGTACTCCTGGAATTTACAAATATTGCTGTTGACCTCTGTCCTCTTGTACTCCCCCCCCTCCTAGTTAAACCTGGAAAAAGAAGTAACTTCAGAATAGAAAAGTAAAAAAAAAAAAAAAAAAAAAAGACGATTTTGCTTTCCGCGGAAAATTGATCATTTATATACATCAGCACACCGAATTTGATACTAAAAACTGACGCATTGCCAATCTCTAAAGACTGTATACAAAAATATGTTATGAAAACAGTGCTCTGCATCCAGATACTTATTGTTTTTAACATCCTTCCAAGATGGTGAGAAGGCAGATATTTCTGTGAACATGTACGAAGACATCAACATCATCACCGGCGCGCTGAAACTGTACTTCCGGGATCTCCCGATCCCACTCATCACATACGACGCCTACCCGAAGTTCATCGAGTCGGCCAGTAAGTATGAAGGCGCGCATTCCCAGTAACCTCACAGAATGCCTCCTCGCGGTAATCACTTCCCTGGTTTGTCGGAGTTTCTTGAATGCGTACTAAGTATTTCCCCCTCACCTCTCTCCATGGCTAATACACCCACAAGAGTTTTGAACTCCTCTCCAACGTCAGTTGTTGGTGACTTCTGCCGTCAGAAGCCTCTTTGTAATGGGCTAACCCTCATTTTCCAAAGTAAGGCTTTTCCCAGTGCTCCTCAGATGAGGACCAACACTTCTACAAAATAAAAATGAATAACTAGAAAAATAAAATTGAAAAACAGGACCAAACTATTTTGTTATTAGATTCAGCTAGTCATAAAAGTTGCTCTATCAGATCCCATAAGTTTCCAAATTCTTACTTTCAATTTCTGTCCTTATCCTGTGACAGACCATTAACAGACAGTTTGTGAACTGGCACTGGTCTGTAGATCATACTTTAAGGAGCACTGTTTTAGATCAAGAAGTGGTTTTTTAAGTTCTAGTTGAGATGCAAATGAGAAAAAAAGCAAAGGCTCATATGCCAAATTTTATTTATGGTGCAAAACTCATACCTGTAATTCACACTTCATTTTTTTAAAGAAGGGAATTTTTAACAGATTTTAAGTGTTGGCATTGCCCTTTTTTAGAAAAGATAGGCTATTTCTGTCATTTGCTTTTCTCTCTTAAAAACCATATGTTGTCTTGATCTTTAAATAATAACATCACTTTCTTAGTAACACTGATTTGCTTTTTGACTTGGAAATTTCGTGAAGTACAGACTTGCTTTGTTCTAATTTTTAGTTTCCCCTTCAGTGCTTTTGTTGAGAATTTCTGTGGTTAGTTCCCTAGAGCCCTGATTTCTTGCGGGTCAGCCCAGCTCTCACCTAGAGAACAGCCAGGAGAATTACACTGATTTGTACAAATGTCCATGTTAGGAGCCTGAAAGACTCTAGATCTCTTCCATTGGAATTTAACTCCTCTTATTTTGGGGTGGATTCAGTGCTGATCATGAAAATTGTCTGCGGGAGCTTATGGTTGTTGTTTCGTGGGCCAGACGTTTCCGCCCCAGAGAGAGAAGTCTGATGGCCATGAACATGGACAGCACTTGACACACACATCACAAAGGGCTGCTCAGTCCACAGTTTGCCCCGATCCCCAGGACAACACTGAGGGCCCAAGTGGGCAGTGTTCCTGTCCCCGGTATCACTTTGGAATAAAACTGACACTTGGCTTCTGTGCCAAAGCCAAGGGCACCTCATTTGCAGAGGACAAAGCAATCCTTCAAACCCAGGTTCTGAACTCTACACAACCGCCTCATCTATGTAGAAGAAAAACCCAAGGCTTCCTTATTGGGGTTCAAGGCCTTTTGCCCCCCACACCCTCACATTGTTTCACCTTCATTCCCCACACCCACCTCAGCTGCCTCGGTTAACCTTCCAAACCATTTGTCAGGGTTCTGGGGTTTGTATCTGAAACAGGCCTCCTGTCTCACATCAGCAAACCCCCTGTCCTACCTCCGAGAGCTCTTCAAAGTGCATCATAGGATAGAAACTTTCCTAAATCAAGGTAGATTCTTTCTTATAATTTCAACTGTTTTGATGTGTGATTGCCACGACACCAAAACCACGCCTAACACTTATATACAATATCAACGTTTATTGTACGTGTTTGCTTTTGATCCAATTGTTTATGGAACACTGTATCCTTGTCTGTGTCTCTCGTAGCAGTAGAGTCTGTTTCATTATTTAGACACATAGATACAGCCTTTCTCTTATCTTTATAGGCACACAAGGGAGATGAGAGAAGCTAAGATTTATAGGGCATATACTAGGTCCCAGGAATCATGTTAGGCACTTTACAGTCACAATATCATTTTAGTTTAGTTTTTTTTATTCTAGTTTAGTTTTAGTTTAGTAATCTCTACACTCAATGTGGGGCTCAAACCATGACCCCGAGATCAAGAGTTGCCTGCTCTTCCAACTGAGCCAGCCGGGCACTCCGCCAGGATATCATTTTAGGAAGGAGATGTTACACGGTTTAAGTAAATTGTCCAAGGTCCTATCGCTGGAGGAGGTGGCCCTGGCATTCCAACTCACATTTGTCTAATTAGTCCCAGCCCTCGCTCTCTCTACTCGGCCCAGTGCCTGGCTTCCCTGGTAGAACAGAAGACTTACCCACGGGAGGAAGGCAGGAGGGCAGGAGGGCAGGAAGTCCTCCCAAAGGATGGTCAGGGCTAGCTGACCCTTCCTGATGCAGGTGCTCTTGAACCTTTTTATCACTCAGTCCCTAGGAAACAGGGGCCCTGTTCTTTAGGGCTCGGGTTTCTCTGGCATTTATTAGCATTTCTTGCCAACAGAAACTCGGAGTTCACATTAAAGCTTTCTCCTGCAAAAGCTGTCCGAGCTCTGCTGTTGCAGCCTCCCTCGGACATGCTGCAGCTTGGAAGCTGGAGGGCAGTGGCTACGGGAAATGAAAAAGGGACACATGGGTGGTGGAGGCCAGGGCATCTCATCTAAGGGCTTGAAGGTCTTCATAATCCCCTGGAAACTGCCCTTGAACCACCTGGAAGTGTCAGACTACCGAGCCCTTTTTCCTCGCTGCCTCTCTCTGTCCCCCGCAGTGAAAACACTGCTGCCCCCGCCCCCCACCCCCTGGTGCAAAGGCTGGAAGATAGGTGCCTCTCACAGGCCTGCTCAGTAAGCCAGCACTTGGCCACTTCCTGACCACGACGAAAACGGCGCTGCCAGGAATGTGTGCGGGAATCTTTCTCTGGCCAAGGACTCTACGAGCTCTGTTCCCAGAAGATCTTAGAAAATATGACTCAGAGTGTAACCCTGAGTGAGTCAGATAAACTCAGAAATAAAACCCAGGGTTCTTTGTCCCAAGCAACTTAAAATGTCCTAAAGGGAAGCCTGGGATGAGGATTTGCAGAGTTTTTCCCTCACCTCTGCCACTGGGTCACCCCTTATGCATGGCTAAGTCTTTTTTCCTTCTATTTGAATTTCTCTCAAAGAATTGACAGCACATACTTTAAGAAGAACTTTTAACTAGATACTGATACAGGTTCAGGTGCGTATTTCCTGCTCACACCACGTCCACATTGCAACATCCTTCCAGACCTTCCTCCGATGCCTTCTCTTCCTCCCCTCTGTTCCACTCAGCCCCCAGGCAATCTCTCTCCTCCATCTCCCCATCACACTTCGCCAGGACCTCTTCTACAGCCTCCTTCCTTCATGCTGGAAGGTTGCACTCATGTCTCGGCCTCCTTATTAGACTAACCCCTTTACGAGAGGGCGTTCTCTCCCTCGTGTTTATTTTCCCACAGCACCTGCGAGAGTCCTGCACTTACATAATAGGTGCTCAGTAAATACTCGTTGAATGAGTAAACATAATTTTATATCGAGAACCATAGAATCTTAAGAGTTTCTAGGTCTTCTAAAGGGTCATGTTAACAACACTTCCTTCTACAGCACATTCTTTTTTAAATACGCAGTAACTGCAAGATGACCGCTTCTCTCGGCAGGCAGCTGCTGGTGGACGGATGCAACAGTCAGAAAGGCCTACTTGTGCGCAACAGAGATCTGCCTGCTTTCAACTCCCTCCCTTGGCAATGGTCCTAGTATCACCCTCTTCCGCATGCAAGCCTTTCACGTACTTGAAACAACCGATGGTGGTTGTTCATTTCTAAATACATTCCATTTTGTCTTTCTTTCTCTTAAATTATGCCGTGGTCTTCTTAGGGCAAAAGATTTGTGTTCTCTGAAAACATTATGGGTAATAGTCCTTTAAGTAGGAAAAAAATCGAGAAAAATTAATTTCAGGGAAGAATCTCTGTCAATTTGATGTCAGAATATTCAAATGCAGTTTATCATAGGTCCTCCAATTTATATCTCCAGTCTGGACCTCTCCCTGAGTACCAGATTAATCCACCATCAGCATGATCATTTGGATGTCTCAATGACATCTTGAATAGAACCCTGGATCTTTCCCATGAAACCTCTTCCACCCATAATCTTAATGGAGGCTCCATCCTCCCAGTTGCCTAACCCCAAAACTTAGCTCATTCTTGATTCTTCTCCTTCTCCTACATCCCTCATCAGGAAATCCTATGGACTCTACCTTTAAACTATCCCCAGAATCCAGCAACTTCTTACCAACTTCACTGCCACCACCTGGTCTAAGCTAGAGTCAGTCATTCCTCACCTGGGTTTTTTTTGTTTTGTTTTTTTTTTAAGATTTATTTATTTGAGAGAGAGAGCAAGAAAGCATGTACGAGCATGGAGGGAGGGGCAGAGGGAAAGAATCTTCAGCAGACTCCCCACTGAGCACGGAGCGCATTGTGAGGCTCAGTCCCACGACCCTGAGATCATGACCGGAGCCGAAACCAAGAGTCAGACGCTTAACCGACTGTGCCAGCCAGGCTCCCCGCTCACCTGGATTTTTGTAATAGTTACTAGAATGGTCTGTTTTTACTCTGGCCTTTCCATAGTCTGTTTCCCACATGGCAGACAGAGGAGAGATACCGTGAGCAATGTCGGTCAGATCATGCCCTTATTCAGCACCTTCCCATTTCTCTCAGTAAATGCTAAGTCCCTGCAACAGCCTGATGGCAACGGACACAACAGTGTCCTGCTACCTTTCTGACCTCACTCCCTTCCATTCCCCTCTTGCTCACTCTAGCTCAGCCGCATTTGGCTTCTCACATGTCCTCAAACATCACAGGACCCTCGCATGGCTACTCCTCTGCCTGGAACCCCTTCCCCTAGATCTCTGTGTGGTTCATTCCCCCACACCCTCAGAGTCTTTACTCAAGACCTACTTTCTCATTGAGGTCTATGCTGATCCCCATTTTATTATTTTTTTGAAGATTTTATTTATTTGACAGAGAGCGAGAGAGGGAACACAAGCAGGGGGAGGGGAGAGGGAGAAGCAGGCTTCCTGCCGAGCAGGGAGCCCGATGTGGGGCTCAATCCCAGGACCCTGGGATCAGGACCTGAGCCGAAGGCAGATGCTTAATGACTGAGCTACCCAGGCACCTCTGATCCTCATTTTAAATTGCATCCCATCACACTTGCAGTGTTTCTTACCCTGCTCTTTTTTTCCATAGCACTGGCCTCATTCTAATATAGTAGAAACGGGAAGGTATGTGTTCATTATTGTCAGTCACCCTGCAAGAGAGAAAATAAGCTCTCTCTGAGCAGAGAATTTTATTTGCTAGCCCACCAACAATATCCCTAATTTCACACCATCTCAAGATTCTCCCTGCAAAGATTAAATGTGAAAATTAAAAGGAAACTGTTACTTTTTTTCAATTTCCAAAACAACATAGTTTCAGATTAATTAGTCCTATGGTAAAAATTGTAAGTAAATACTAAGTAATAGTTTCTATAGTAAATGGAATTTTCTTAATTCTAGAAATTAAATGATTGAATTTCAGTATCCGAGATGGTATTGCTGTTATGAACTGGCATTCTTTAAAGACCCGAAGTTTCAAAGACCATGCATCAATTATCATGGCAAATAATACATCCTTTATTACTGAGAAACGAACCAGGAACCCTGGGTAAGCTTTGGGCTGAAATTCTAAAATGGCCAAAGTTTCTTTGAATTAAAAAGCTTCACTCTTCCCATTCTGACATTTATCAGATCGGCACTGCCAATGCTAGGAACTCTCACATTCATTTTTCTATCAGTTTTAACCAAATTCTGACGCGTTGGCATTGAATCGGTTTGTCTTAGATGTTAGAAAACTAGGATTCTTAGTCTTGTGTCTTCAGCGATACGTTGCGGTCTGCTGCGGCCTTCCAGCATGTCAAGGCTGCTCCCCTGATTGAGACTCAGCACTCTGGGGTCCCCTTGCAATTACACTGCAACCCGACATTTAAAGGCCCCCTATCTTCCTGACATCGGAGAAGCAGGAATGTGCTAGGGTGCTCTTTTTGAGAGCCCAGCATTCCAAAGACGTCTGCTGTTTCTGATTGTGGGAATAACGGATGTACTAAATGCAATGTGACCTCAAAGGAACGTGCTGGGTTTGGGGCCAAGACAGAACTAAAATGTCCAAATGAGGATGGTTCCCTTTGAAGTTTACACTTCGGAAGAGCCACGTTTACCTGCGGTCACTCCCAACAGTTAGAATTGCCTCCACAGGGTTATTGCATTATCCTGAATGTCCTAAGTGGTTGAGTATTTTTGTGCTCTGAGGGTAGGTTTGACTTTTTTATATAACAAGAAGTAAATTAAAACCAAGGAAGTAAATACTGGGTGATGCCTTTCTTGGTTTAAAAAGAAAAGAGCATGAATACCAATTAAGACTTTGGCAGGGGTTGCCAGGGGCAGAGCTTGTCTACCGTCGCTGAACTGGGATGTTCAAAATATCTTGAACAAATTAACATCCCTTAAGTAGGTCTGTAATGTTGTAAGATGACCTCATTCGAATGTCTAAGTTTTTAATCCGTGTATACATGTGTCTGAACGCTTTGTGGTTACATCCTGTCTATCCAGTGTCCAAGTTCCATGGTGACCAGACTCTAAGGCACTCAAGTGAATCAAGTGGGTGCCATCCCCAAAAGTCCAAGTAAATGGTATTGCCGCACTGAAACTAAATCTTCTGGCAATCTGAGACTTGAACCTTAAAAAGATCTTCCAAAGCTGTGGGCAAGGATCTGTGAGAAAGAATTTCTTACCGGTCCTAGATGATCACCACAAGAATAGAATTCAGTGAAGCATTTATACAAGTTGTCTGTTAAAGCTCTTCTCCTTGGTATTCACCTTGCTGTCTCAGAAATTATGGATCCTGACGAGCAATTAGAAACCCTCCACGAGGCACTGAAGCTGCTGCCCCCTGCGCACTGCGAAACCCTGCGGTACCTCATGGCACATCTCAAGAGGCAAGTTCCAGACTCGGAAGCTTCTCCTTGTACTGCAGCCGAATTTTAAGAATCAGATGAAACCAAAGGGGAAAGAAAGGACAGATTATTGAAGGAATAAATGAATGCACAAGCTGAGAAGGAATGCTAAAAATATTCTGCGCTACAGTGCCGAATACAGACTGGATTCTGACGTAAACGTATTTGCAGTTCCAGTCTGTGTTTGCAAATATGTGAGAGATACTGATGTTCTGCCAAGGACATAAACTGAATTTTTGTGGAAAGAGAAAAGGTTGTAGCTGTAAGGACATGAGCATTAGCATAATAAAGAGCAAAGCAGCTCGCCAGAAGGCTCACTTTTCTTACTTCTTGCTCCAAAATAGGCACTTGACACTTGGTGACAGGATTTTAGATTATTGCATTAATGTCTCCCCCACTGAAAACTGCTATAAAAAAATGGAGTAAAATAAGAGGTAGAGGGAGGAATAGAAAATAAAATATTTCGGTTACTTCTGGTTTCAGGTCTTAAGTAGACGGGTGGTGGCATAACTTCATTTCCCTGCTCGGTCACTCTCGCTCTCTACCAGTTGAAGGGAACTATTTTAAATTATGTGATCAAGTTTTAGTGGTTTTAGGGTTTCAAAATATAAAGCCAATTAGAAACAAAAAAGACAGAACTTGACATCTATTTTGTATGCCTCTCGGCAAGAGCTACCCAGAAATAAATATTTAGCTGATGGCGCATTTAGCATTTACATGGTTTCCCTCCTTAAAAGCAGCAGGAGCTAAAACTTGTGTTCAATATGCTTACAACTTCACTCGTAAATTCAAGTTTGCTTCATATATGGATGCAGTTAAGTCCTTCCCACTAAAGCAAAGGAACGGCTCTCAAATCCTAGTCCGGGCCTTTGCTGTATAGCAGGAGAGCGAATACGAACACCCAGCTCCCCGACCAGGTCGCTTGCCCTCAGCCATCTCTCTGTGCCACCGCCACCACCCTCCCCAGATACTCAATAAAAATCCAGGGAACAGGACAGCCAGTGTGGAAGGAGGGCTGATGGAATAATCGAGACGACCCAGCCCCTGGTCTGCTACGTGCAAACACCCCCCACAGTCCAGCAGTGAGCTCGGGCGGGAGCTTCAGTGATCACCAGAAGTTTAATTTATTGATAGGATTTACTTTGAAGTGAAGAGGGGCACAGAGAAAGAACGTAGCCGAAGAGTTAAGTGGGCAGGAACCTTGACTGTGAACCTGGTTTTTGTTCTAGCGCTTGAGCACCGTGCAGAACGCGGGCACTTACACGAAGGTGCGCTCCTTTGCTTTTATTTTGCAGAGTGACCCTCCACGAGAAGGAGAATCTTATGAACGCCGAGAACCTTGGCATTGTGTTCGGCCCGACCCTGATGAGATCTCCAGAACTAGACGCCATGGCCGCCTTGAACGATATACGATATCAGAGACTGGTGGTGGAGCTGCTGATCAAAAATGAAGACATTTTATTTTAAATTTTAGTTCGCAGGGGAAAAAGTGTTTTACAGATGAAGGAATGTTTTATAGTAATTTAACTGGCTCTTATAGCTGAATTATTTCTTGGTTAGAAGTTTGGGCAGATAGCCAGATTAAAATGAAGGAACTTTCCACTGTTTCCGTAGCACCGCTCAGCTGTCCTTGTACAACAGTGAACACACGCGCTCCAGTTCTAGTAACCCTGGGTGTTTATCATGTTAAGAGAAACTCAAGCTACTGCATGATTAGCCCCCTCTTTGGCAAGGGAACCCCACACAAAGGAGACAACAAGCCTGCACCGCCTTTTTGTCCCGGATAGTCTGTGGTTGTAATTCCGCATGTTTCGCAGAGTAAATCTGTCGTGACTCGCTTTTGGGTTCTAGGTCTTTGGTTTCTGACGCTTCTACAAACGTGCCCACAAATGGATGGAACAGCACCTCTGGCTGTCCCGCATCCCCATAGACTAGAACATAGGCCGACTCTCGCAAACGCTGCACTTCTGCTTTCTCCTCGTTCTTCTCTAACAGAGTCCTTTCTTTCCAGCAAAAGCAAAATGTGTTTTCAGATTTGTTACTTTAGTCAATTATCCACCAATAAAAAAGTACAATGCAGAACATTTTCTGTTATTATTGGTTTTTTAGTTGCGATTTTGTGTTTTTATCTGGCATGCATTTATTAATTTATTAAATTTGGCTTTCAGAAATCAAAAATATTGATAGCTTACTTTTTTCCTCATGATTGAGCATATTTGGGAGAATGTGTTTGGCCATTTATTTAATACTGAGTAAGGTTTTGTACTGAGTTCCTCAAATAATTTAAAACTGCTTAGGATTAAAATCCCCATTCATTGGATTTTTCTTCTTGCTAGACTATCTTCTCAACTTCCAGTGGGGGGTGGGGGGGCAGGAGTTCCTTCTCGAGCCACCAGAAGAAGAGAGACTAACTAAAGAGAGTGACTTCTTCAATGTTTGGTTTGTCAGAAATGCTGGTGTTCACATGCAGTGGGGCTGATGAGGCTGCCAGAGAGGAGTTGGTCCACGTACATCCCGATGCCAGGACACGTGCGGTGGGCCTGATACGGTTACTCGCCACCCATGTGCCTTTGCACTAAGGACCCTCCAGGTCCGTTTCCTTGTCTGTTGAATGAGCATCCTTCCAGAACTCAAGTTCTATCCTGCTTTAAGAGTAAAAAAAATAATAGTAGTAATGCAAGGCTCATTTTTGTGTTTTTGCCACTTCAATCCTTGACACTACGAAGACTATCTCAAAGATGATGGTAACTGACAGAAATGAGGAGTTTTTCCTAGTTTTGCCCCTGGGCTCTAATAGGAAGTGGATAGTATAACTAGTAATGTAGGTGTTCAGAAAAGTGCAGTTGTTCAAAGGTTAGTCCCTCACCGCTGCCTTCTCAACCACAGTCTCCCACGGAAAAGGTCATCACACTGAACATTGGATGCACAGATTCAGAGGCTACAGAGATTTGTATAACAAAAACTTTCTTTAAAATGGAGGCCACCAAACGGCACTATACACGTAAGTCAGTGCTCTTGACTCATGAAATATATTTGTCAGAGAAATCTGATCACATAAATCGGTCCCAGGTCAGGTAAGGCTACTGAACTGCTGTGTGTTCATGGCTAATGTTCATTTTGTACCAAGTCTTTTTAAAGGAGAAATCCAGTTGTAAAGAACTATGCTTTATTAGAATATAATCACCCTGTCCTTTTCCTAAAAGGAACAGATATGGTTGACTTTCGAGTGGGCACTTTTTCTTTTCTAGGGGAAAATTCGTTTATTGTTCTGATTTACTAAAACTTAAAATATTCCATAAAATTACCCAGGAAAATCCAGGTAGCAGAAATATTTAACACTGTGCCTTCCTTCAAGAGGTCTCAAGCACATTTTAAAAGGCCATAGAATGACACACACACACACTATGCCACTTAAATCACTTCTGTCTTTCATCCATAGGTATAGACGTAAGCCCCGTGGTGCTGAGGTAACACTGTAGCCTTCCCCCAGCAGGACTGCATAGACGTTCAGGGTTAAGTGTGAATATTACCAGGAGGTTCCAAGTCACCTGATGAATCAGTCCCATTTCAATGTCAGACCAAAGGCAATGAGACACACACCTGAAGGGAACAGCTTCCGTGTGTGTGCAGGGGACAGGTAGGTGCCAGGGGAATCAAGGAGGCCCTTATTAAAATTAGAGATCTACCTGGAGCAGAAGCAATGCCTGATCATAGTAAATACTCAGATGTTTAAATAAACTTCCAAGTCTTCAGACAGGGTCCTTGTTTACCAGGTTTTTGAACAAGCACAGTTGGTATGTTATTAAAGACCCGGATGTGTGGTTCATCCCCTCAGGGCATGCAGATTCAAATTACAGCTACATCATCTGTGAGCATTCTTGGACCGTGGGTGACACTCCTTAAAATGAAGAAACAATCCCCTGTTGGCTCAGGAATAATTACAAGATTTTACACACAGCTTTCTGTGACTAATGGGAGAGTTCTTAAATCATGACCTTTTAGGATGAAGCAAAAGTTTCTATTGATTTCCACGGCAGGAATGAAGGAGGGGCACATAAACCTCCCCGTGATCATCCACCAATTTGGCAGCACTGTATCTACTCTGCCCCCACTGTCAGGTCCATTTCTTCCGAATTTTCTATATATAGTTTTAAAGACTTTGAGAAATGAATCGCTCTTCTCTACATTTTCTGTTAGTTTTTAATGCCAGTTAGTCATACCAGCCAGCCAAAGGAAGTCGTTCTTCACTGAATTGATATTTAAAATGTTTGCTAAGTGGAAGAATAGATGTTTATCAAAATGTTCCTGGTTACTTGATGAGCTCAAATGGAGTGCCTCTAAATAAATTAGGTTCAGGGTTGCAACACTATTCATTTTCAACAAAATATTTTAGAGTTTATAGCCCCAGAGCTGATTAGGTATTATTGGTAATTCCATTTAAAGAGAAAAAGTTTTGTTTTTGTTTTTTAACGCACATTGGAAAAGCAGGATACCCAAAATTCTCCCAACTGCATGTTTTACTCATTGGGAGGGCAACTTCTTATAGAACTCTTTCAGGATCTTTATAACCTGATTTGCCTATAACAACTGCGTGGTACTCACATTTGTCTATTAGTGTTAAGTGAAGGGCACATCCTTGTATGAGCTGAAGTAACAGTGATCTTCACATACATCATCATCCCACCTCACACTCCCACTGAACGTCTGGGCCGTTTTGACCCTTGATTGGCTCACACTGTGGTGGAATGTATGAGACCGCTAAGCAGCGGCGGCAGCATTGCCAGGGATCTGTCAGCTTCTCTAAGTTTTAGAGATCTAGTTTTTACTTGCACTCTCTGTCCAAACGCAGCCCAGTCCTGCATCCCCTGCTGTATCTATACTCCTCACTCCACTCCCATTTCCTGCCTGCTCCCGGTGGGCCAGGCACTGTGCTAGGCCTGGGAACAAGGTCAGTTCCAGTTCTCAGGGAACTTAACAGGTCAATGTGGCCTCGTCAGACTTGGATTTTGTCCTTTTTCTCACTGAGTATCTTATTTCCTATGGGCCTCAGCACTAGACGTCAACAGAAAGCTAAAACAAGACAGCATGGCTGGGGTGCCTGGGTGGCTCAGTCGTTAAGCGTCTGCCTTCGGCTCAGGTCATGATCCCAGGGTCCTGGGATCCACCCCCGCATTGGGCTCCCTGCTCTGCGGGAGGCCTGCTTCTCCCTCTCCCACTCCCCCTGCTTGTGTTCTCTCTCTCTCTCTCTCTCTCTCTCTCTCTCGCTGTGTCCGTCAAATAAATAAAATCTTTGAAAACAAAAACAAAAACAAGACAGCATGGATGTATTTGCCTTTCTTGGGGGAAAGCGTGGGTTCACAAGCCACACTCTTACAGTACCATTGATACGTTCAAGTTGACTATAAACATTCATTTGACCAATAAGCAAAGAAAATATGAAAATGACTTCACACATACTCAGTATGAGCTTATTTGGAAGCATCAAGAGCGTAAGGTCTTAGCTGCCTGTCCCTGTGGGCAAGTGTGTTTTCTGGAATGGGACGCCGGAGCACGAAGGAGCCCCATCATGTCCTCTGCCGTGGGTCCACTCACCCCTGACTTCCCTGCATCGCTCGAGTCTAGGCAGCGCTGCTAGTGGTCCTTTGCATTGCTTTTGGCCAATTCTGTGCCTAGTCGGTGGTCCTTTGGGAACAAGAGATGGTCTCAACCTGACAGCTCAGAGTCACCATTCATCTAAAACAGACTGACAGTCTTTCCTATTTACTGAATAGTAGTGAAAGGAAAAAACCAAAGTTGTTCTTTTCTCTTGGTTCTGTCCAGTCAAGAAATTAGGTCATAACACATATACCAAATCCCACTTAAGACCAACTAGCAATTTTATCAATAAATTCATATTAATACTTTTATCATAGTTCCAAACATTTGTTTCAACACATTCTCCTACCTTATTAAAGTCATCAGGACCGCTCAGCAAATGATTAAAATTTTTTTAAAGTAAAATTATTTCACTAGTCCTGCGTCTCACACAAGGATCTCACATCAATTGATATTTCACATACTGGAACCAAAAATCAAGGAAAAGTTAAGCTAGAAATTAGGATTCATTCATCACCAATTAGTGAAAGGAAAACCCCGATTTAGGAGTCATGTTTTCTCTGAAGATACATTTTAATAATCTTTCAGTCGTAATATATTTCACAATGGCAATGTCTTCCCTTTTTGCTTATTGCGCCCAACAGCACAAAACAGCACAAGCAGTATAAACGCCATGTTGCTGACCTAGTTTTTGGCGCTCTCGTGAACGCTTGCAAGTGTTGGGGTGTAACTGTTGTTCACACACAGTCACAATTATTATTGGAGCAGGTAACAGCAGCAGGCGAGGCTACAAATCCTAGGAGTGGTTTTTCTAGTTCGGAAACAACTACTTAGCTGTCACTACGGTAACGCAAAAAGCAGAGGAGGGGATGTTTAAAGATTAAATATGAAGGAAATTAGCAAAAAGGGTCTTCTCGAGGTAAAATGTTGTAAACTTGGAATGTTCTAAAAACATAAAAATCTTTTGGTTTGCACTGGGTGAATCTTAGACCAGTGAGTTTCCTTTTTGATATTGCCTATAAGTACAAGCTGGGCACAAGCCAAGTCTTGTCGGTGCCAAAAAAAAAAAAAAAAAGTATCAAGGCCTGGGCTGCTCATTGGGATGCCTCTTCCTATGAGTGGACATTTTCCTAAGACAGTTTTTATTTTTGCCAACGAAAATTCATAATATTGAGCAATAACTTATTGTTTCTTTTTACAAATTGTATCCAAACTATGTGAGAAAGGCGATGATTCAGGCATACAAAGGTTAAGTTCAAGTACATCAGCTCTCCGTCCCCAGAGTCTAGGAACACTGTGACATCAAAATGTGGAGGAAGGGGGAGTAAAAATTGGAGAGCTTTGGAATGCATTCAAGTAGTTACCATCTTAAAACCGGCTATTATAAATAGAAGTTGTTTTATGTAAGCCTCAGGGTAACCACAAAGCAAAAACCTATAGTAGATACACAAAAGATAAAGATGAAGGAGTCTAAGCAGACTACAAAGAAAGTCATCAAATCATAAAGAAGGAGAGCAAAAGGAAGGAACAGAGAGGAATTACAAAACAGTCAGAAGCCAATTAACAGGGTGCCTGGGTGGCTC